ACAATGCCAGAAAGAGGATCATACGCAATGAACACAAAAGTAGACAAAAATAAAATAAAATAAATGAACATAAAAAAAGTACACAAAATGCCAGAAAAAGGATCATGCGCAATGAACACAAAAGTAGACAAGAAAAAAATAAAATAAGTGACCATAAAAGTATACAAAAAAAAATCTAGTACAATAAGGGTGGGTGTGGGTATAGCGAAAGACATAACAGGAGCATTCACAGTCCCAGCCACACTTACCCGCTCCCACACCAACAATCACAACTGCACCCCACACCAAAATTGAAAGTATTACTTTAAAAAAATCTTGAAGTTTAACAAATAGTATTCTTGTGGAGAATGTATTATATTCAGAGATTAGAAACTAATTCATTATGTACCGATAACATCTGTGAAAGTCTGTATTGAACGTCCTATATAACTCTTTTATAATGGATTGAATTATCAATTTTTCTATAAAATATTCAGTAACTATATTTATTAATAAAGATCTTTCTTGCTTCTCTCATAAACTTATTCTAGCTTTAATACGTTACTTTTATTTGAAAGAATGTAGAACAAAAATAAATCTTTTTTTCTTTTAATTATTTAATTTTTATGCAGAGAAATCTGACCAGAAAGTTCAATGGCTAAAAATAATCTGAGATAGGTATCTATCTATATATATAATGAAATCAAAGCTTAATCTAAAAAAGAATTCTATTATAGTCTCCATGTTAGTATTAATTTTCGAATACAAGAAAACTAAAATTCATAGAATGTGTGACAACAGAGAAATCGGAAACGCATGATTGAAAAAGTATAAAAGGAACAAAATGTCTTGTTTTTTTACGGAAAAATATACCTTGAACATTGATATGATTGTCTACAAGAATATAAGTGTGATAATTTGATAAGAATTTTGTATACACTCTCATCTACATTCGAAATTGTATTTTTCAACAATTAAATTATAAAGAATATTTTCTGTAAAATGATCTTTTAACGATTGCTATACATCATGCTACAATATCTGTTTAGTGAAAACTATATAATGCATTTAACTATGATTACTTTTCAGATGAATGATACTATAATATTTACTGATCCTATCCTTCACATATGTATTTTTTAAGTAGCGATACTTCTTGTTCGCCTCATTCAAAACATCATTTTAGCTTTGCACCCATAATTATCTCAACAGTTTGTTGAAAATGTTTCAATATGAATAGTCTATTGTTTGATGAATTGAATTCTCCCATTTGTATTTGCTACTAAATATGATGATGTCGATGCAATCATGATATTAATCGAGTATTGATGATGATTCATAAGTGAACAGAAAATATATATTCTACTCTAGACAAATCATAGATTATATACACAACAGTGCATCACATATCTTTAGGAAATATGTATCGAATTACGGAGGTACAGTAGTTGAGATAAATCTCAAAAAACCTACTACATATAACAATATAATACAGTCATTGGAAAAAAACAACTATGTAACGTTGTCAAGAAAAAATCAATGAAGCAGAACGAAAAGGAAGTATAAATATGAATAGTACAGTGAGTAAATATTATAGTTTGAATATATATATATATACTAATATATAGAAATTAATGACTGTCTTTCATAGAAATCTGTCTAACTATAAGGTGTTGCTTGGAATATTATTTTCATACTTCTCATCATCGTCGCCTTATCAGACTCTATGATTCTGTGATTGTGATTGGAAAATAGAATGACTCAAATGATTACATCCATCCACAATCGACTTGGAACTTGATTATTATGAATGATATCAATTCTCACTCAATGCAATAAGATTTTCAAACTTAGAATTCAACATTGCATTATATTAAAAAAAGTGTAAATCAGATTGCACTTTGAATTTAATGACAAAATAAAGAGCAAGAAAATTCGAATCAATGAAAACTGAATTAAAATGTATGTCTGAAAGGTAATGTTTGGATTAGTTGTTTATTAAAATTATTTTTGCATGTAATGTTATTAGAGCCTCATTTAGTCGGCATGGTCTCTACATTTGACATTCAAATCTGTTCTATCGAACAGAATCATAATGTTGCATGATCTATTTCTAGTTTTATTTTAATACATTTTTCTTGAACACAATATGCAATTCCCATGTAAAAAGTTATATAAATTTAACGACTTAATGAAACACGTTAGCACCATTTTTTCGTTAAATCGTTCAATTTTTATATAGATTGCACTGAATATTTTACAAAATAGATTCCATACTAGTATCTCAACATAGTCACAAAAGTTCTGATAAATTGTTGATTGTATTTAACTAAAATAGGTATGTTAGACATATTTAAAAAAGAAAGCATAGTATGTACAGGCAACAATATAGTTCATCGAAAAAACAAATGAAAAATAGAAAGTTAAGCGAAAATAAAATAAGTATAAGTTTATTTTTCGTCAACAGACACTCTCTTCCTCAGATTCATCGCCTGAGGGAATATCATTAGATGATTTTGGAACGAATATGTTTGGTAAGTGAAGAGCCGATGTTATGTCGGGATCAGCATCACCTTCTATGGGTGCATTAACATTTTCTCTAAATTCTCTAGCTTCATTAGATGACGTCTCTAGATAATGAAATGAAACACTATTTTATTGTATCGATAAAAATATATTTTAGCTATACCTGTTGTAGTTGCTTGTTCATGAACTAGATTTTCTCCATTTGAAAGACTATTATCTTGAACATTAGTAGGAACATCTTCATTAGCTAATAAATCTGCACCTAAACATATAATATCTTTTTAATCAAACAAAAGAGGGAAAATAGAAATTAGTGAGCAAACCTGTATTTAGATCATCATTAGATGTTTCAACTCTATCATCGCCGACAAAACCACTTTCATAGCTACTTGTACACTCTAAATTTATAATATTCTAAGTATATGCAAATATCAAATGATAAAAACTTACCATCAGCACTAGTATCACTAGAAGGAATGTTATCTTGTGATTCAACTGAACGGACAGGATCCATAATCCCTTTTAAAAATAAAGTTAATTTTATTAAATTCTATTAATAACATAGTATTTAACTTACATGCTAGATTATCAATAGCATCTTCAGATACATTATATGCATTATTTATATCATGATCAATGGGGCCTAAATATTTATAAGAAATAGAGTTTAGTAAAAAATATTCGAAATATATACCATTCTGTGTATTTGGAGGAATCAAGTTATCATTTTCGTTATTTAAAACCGGCAGTATATATGGAAGATCATCAACACGTATATCGTCTCCATATGCATTTATGTATCGAGCATCAGTTAGTTCAACAACTAGGATCAGAACCATGAAAATAGAATGAACAAACCATTTATTCAAAACTTCTTACTCATAGTGGTTGCAGAAAATATTACAAGTTCATCCGTTGGATCTATAACATAGAATAAAAACATTCAATCATTGACCAACTCACAGTTATAAAATACTACTTACGAGCAGTCAGACCTTCTGCTTCTTCATCTCGATCTATAAGCGTATCATCTGAAATAAAAATAAATAGTGTGCAAATTAGACAACAAAGACTCTTACATAGACATGTTGATTCTGAGAACACTAGTTGAGTTTCATTAATTTCTGTATCATATTGTCTGTCGTATGCTCCTAATGGATGAGTAATAGTATAAGTTCTTACGAATGTTAATAAATGCAAAAACTGATTGATATATGAATGAAAGAAGATAAGCATCCAGCAATAATTAAATATTATTATTTCTGGAAAATAATTGTGTGGATAGACCATACGTGTATTGATTTGTTCATCTAAAACATCAATAATTAAAAAATGAATGTATTTTTTCGATAAAGTAATACCTGTTATACCATGCGTATCAATAGTTCTTTCATCTGCAACGAGTTGTGGCAGAGCTGTTTATATAAAAAAAAAAGATTAAGTTAAAACATTTTTTAGTATACATGTGTTAATTCTTACGAATTAACTGTTCATTATTTGTTACCGTTGAATTGTATTCATTTTCTACACCTTAGAAATAAGTTAAATAATAAAAGTCTATATTACATTATATATTATGTTAATTTGTTATATTTACCCAATTGTTGATTTTCATTATTATTATTATTAATTGTTAAGTTACGTTGATCTGGCATTTTGGCATCAAAATAATCAGGTTTTTTTTATAATATCACAATAATCTAGAATATCCGTTAAGCAAACCTAATTGATGTTCGAAGTAGAGTCACAATATATAGACAATAAAAACAATACAAATATTTTCTAGTTCCGCAACCTTGTTAACATAAAACATCTATAATTATTTAATGGAGGAACCCCAAAATACTCAAATATTTTATGTCTCTGAGCGTGTCATAGATACTTTCATATCATGGTTACGTTTGTCAGACCTCGATAGCGAAAAAGAGTATTTGCTGAACAATGATATTACATTATTTACAAAATAGGATAATAAACTAACCTGAAATGCTAAGCACACTATTGAATAAAATAGAAAGTATTAATCTCTTGAGTGATGTTTGTGTTGGTCTGAAAATATAAGAGAGTTCAAGGTATAAAAAATAAATCAGCGAAGGAGTATCTCTCATTTATATAGCTGTAGCTTTTTTTTCCTCACCTTCGTCGTTATTCTCTCCATCCCCCTCAAGTTCGTTGCCGTCATTTACTTGCTTTCTTTTTTTCTTAGTTTTCTTTTTTACGTTTGTACTGATTTTATTTCTTCGACCAGGACTGCGTTGCCTTTTTTATTTTCAAGTGTATTTGCCATTTTTTGTAAGCGTGTGATGTTTGTAAAGTAGTTTTTATTTTTTTCTTATTATAACTTTGTTATGAAGAAAAGGTACATTTCTTAAGAAAAAAAACAATAACCAGTTACATGTTTTTTTCATATGTCTACTGATTATTTGTTTTTATTTAGTTTACGCAGACTACTGTATAAAGATAACTTTTATCTTTTTTAATATACACGAGATTAGTTATGCATAGCAGAAATAGTAATACATATACATTATGTATTCGATAAAATCTAAACCATATTCATAGTATCCTTACACAGAAAATTGAGACGAAAATATGTGCTTGATGTCAGTATTACAGTAGATCAACAGTTTGAGATAATTTAAAGTGTATTTTTTAGCTGCTTTATAATCGGATATAGATACATTTTAGTATTCGTTTTCATTAATATATCGTAGATAAAATCATTTAATTATTAATGTTATATCTAAAATCATATGGAATGTTGTGTAAACTTATTAATTGTTTATTTCTATTAGAAAACATAAACAATATTTTCTTAAATAGAAAGAAATAGAGCAGACCTGTTATCTTTTAAATCTGTTACTATCATTAATAAGAAATTAAATAGAAATAGAAAAAAAATAAATAATTATTTTATAGGATACAGTTACGTGTATAAATAAATAAATAGTTTATAATTATAACATATTGTCATGCTCTTTTTCATTTTCATTAGTTACTCAAGAGAATAAATTGAAATAAAATTTTTGATAATATATATTTACTTATGTGAATGTGTAATAAAATAAATAAATGCCCGTAAGATAAACCGCCCTATTGTCTTAAGTATTTCTTTGTAAAATATGTTAAATGTTTTTCAGCGTATTTGTTATTAAATTTAGTGGCTAATCTTATATAAAAAATAACAATATTTAGAATTTCTGTCGTTAAGTAAAAGAACCCATTTTTTGCGTTTAATAGTACACATATTAAAAAATTACTTTTATTACTTTATCGACATTTACAATACACTCGTCGACCAGAAGATGTCATATTGCTATTATAAGTTTTTTAATCGGTGAAATGTCGAATACAAACGAATTTACCAGAGTCAAATAAAGTAGCAACACTATTGAAGAAAAAGATTTGTGAATCATTACTCAAAGATATATTTTAAATGAGTGTAGGTGAAATAGTTTAAAACTAGAGTAAAGTTCAATACTCGTAATGAACTAACGAGTTTTACACTACTGAAATAAATTGAAAAAAGATATTTAATTTCTATACTAGGTATTTATATGTGTAATCATT